AAAGGAAAGAAAAGGCACTGACTTCCAACTCTCTTCAGTTCAGTAGAAGATAACAATATTACAATCTCAACTTTTTACTTTTACAGAACACTATATATTAGCCATTTCTATTTCTTCTATTTCTCTTTCTTTCTTTCTTTCTCTCTTTCTTTCTTTCTTTCTTTCTTTCTTTCTCTTTTTTCAATTCTACCCAATCCCCCTTCCTTTTTTCGTATTTGATTTCATTTATTTTTTTATTTCTTAAATTTGGACCCTCATTTGGATCCTCATTTTAACAAATGGGGATAAGTTAGGAAATGCCAATGAACCTAAAATAAATAAATAGCCATTAATTATTATTTTTATGTTCTATCATTTCTATAAACTGATGTAGAAACGCAGAACATGTGTGTATCTACAGAATGGACTCTCTTTTTCAGAATTGTTATAAGCTACCCAGAGCCACTTAGGTGAGATGAACGGTGTAAAATTTTAATAAATAAATAAAATATTTACATTTTTCCAAAAGTGATATACTGCATAAATCCATAGACATTCTCCCTTCAATATCGCATACTGGCTGCAGAACCTAGCTCAGTGATGGCGAACCTTTTAGAGACTGAGTGTCCAAACTGCAACCCAAAACCCACTTATGCATCGTCAGGTGGCAGGTAGGTGTGGCCCATTGGATGGGCGTGGCCCATTGGATCGGCATGGCTGCGGTGGTAACGGCAGACTGGGTGGGACTAAAAAGTTCAATCAATCAATTCCAACTTTGCAAGATCTTTTTTTCCCCCGCAAGAAATTGACTGATTGATTGAAGCTTTTTTTTTTTAAACACGGCGGCAGAGGCCTAAAGCGAAAAGGTTTTATAAAACCCAGCTGAAGGTTTAGGACTGGGGCGACGGCGCACGTGCCCACAGAGAAGACTCTGAGTGCCGCCTCTGGCACCTGTGCCATAGGTTCGCCACCACTGACCTAGCTGAACCAAAGTACTTTCATAACATCTCTCTTTCAGCTGTTCACTCATGTACAAATTCTACCCCATCGTTTGTGCAGTAACAATAATCTTTCTCAAATATTTACATTTTCAGGAGAGAAAAAAAGCAAAAAGCAAGCAAAGCACCAAGGATATACCCTCAAACACCCTACAATACAATAAATGCCCTTTGGTAGCTGATCTCCAGAGGAGGAGAAACGTGCCACAACTTTGCAGACTGCATAAGTGTATGTTAAACCCAGGGTTACAAAGCTTTTAAATTTTGTTCACCGTGGACTTAAATCTCTGATTAAAGTTTTTCTATTAGCAACAAACAAGACAGCATTAGTGAAAAATGTCCTAAGTCACTTTTTTCAGTGCTGGTGTAACTTTGAATGGTCACCAAATGAACTGTTGTAAGTTGAGGATTATCTGTATTGCTATGTGTTCCTGAAGTATGAGTTGCCATGTCTTTCCAGCCTTTAAAAGATTGACTTTCATCATAGATTAAATTCTATGGATCAGAATTAAGTTCTATGGAGTGCCATACTTCAGGGAATGTGTTTCTTTTTTAACATTCCCTAAATTTACCTTTGTTGTATATAAACTGTAAACTGCCTAGTTTATTTTACCTTCCTATACTAATGAATTGCTGGCAACTGTTCAAAATATTTGTGAAACAGGTTAGCAAGATAGGCCAATTAATACACATTTTACTTAAATGTTAAAAGGACCCACTGAACTATGTAACATATTTAAAATGACTAAGTAACCCAATAAAAGTGAAAGGATGAAGGAGAGTTAAATGAAGCCAATGATAAAAAAAAAACCTTCAAAATTCATTTTACAATGCTTAAACAGGGAAATTAAAACATTGTCCAGATTTCTAAATTAAAATATCCAGAATTGATCCATGTGTGTCCTGTTCTGGACTCCCGCAGTCTGATGCTGCTGACCAAGCTGTCTGGGAATTTTGGGAGTTATAGTCCAATATATTTTAATCCAGATAGCCATTAAAGCTTGATGGTGATTGAGGTAGCACATTATTAGAGTCAACCACTCAAAGGGGGGAGGGGAATCCCTCACTCATTTTTCCCAGAAACTGCCCAATTTTTATAAGCACCTGTATCAAAAGAACACCTGCAAGATTCTTCAGTGTCATTAGTCTTCTCTTCATTGGCCAAGTGGGCAGCAGTAGATGCAGAAAAGAAGGGGGAATACTCATGGAAGAAAACCAGCAGTGCTGACATGGCTCATCCACACCAAATTTTATAACTTCCCTTGAATTCTGATTGCTCTGTCTTTGCTGAGCTCCACCCATTCAGAAACCCTCATTCTTCAATGTCCAACCTCTGCTGGGCCCACTACCACATCAGTTCTCTCTGTCAAATAAATGTTTTTTTAAGAAAACACATGCATACATGAAAACAAAGCCTTTAATCTGAGAATCAACAGAAAGGAGACAGCTATTCCCAACCCAATAAGACCTATAGAAGCACCAAGGAGTTTATTGACAAATTCTGCTGCTTATTTGAAAGTTACAAACGTGAAAGTAAGGAATGACCAGCATGGTGTGAATTTTTCACTCTTTTCCCATCTTACCATTTGCCTCAGAGCCTTGATTAACTTTTTAAAAGCAGGCTGTAAATTTGGTGAAGTGAGTACATGAACTTCCAAAAATGAATCACGGGATATAAACTGAAGCATTACAAACCATACACATTCGATTTCAAGGGGATGAATGGTTTGCAATGAAATGTAAGGGGACAAGTGGAACTCTTAAGAAAATTTAAGCAAAACATCCCTCAGCTTGTGCACGTCACATTGTAGACTATCGTGGATACTTTGTGCTTGTTATGAAAGTTGAAGAATTATCAACTATCACTCTATTATTGGAGAATATATCACCTCCATTTGAATTATCCAGATTTCGAAAGACATACTAATACACCAAAGTCCTATCAGACGCTGCTAGCGACATAAAAATATGTACTTATTTTATTTTACAGCAGCATATGAAAGAATACAGAGATTGTTATTGGGTAGAAAATTATAAGCTATTTAATAATAGTTGAAGGAGAAGAAAAGGCAGAGCCCATGGGTGGAGTCAAGAGAGGAATCAGATTGGAGTCACTATATTGCCACAAGTGATTGAAGTCCAGCCTCTTTTGAATTCCATTGACTTATATAATGCCAATTTGGTGCTGTCCATTAATTAAATACATTCCTTATTGTATAAGCAATAAAACAATAACATTTCTTAACTGAAATGTGTGGTTCTGATTCTTTGCACATGGCAAGTTTTCCCAAAGAAACAATGCAGCCACTATAGACTTTTAATTATTTACGGTGAATAGGTTGGCATTCCAATCCATAGTTTTGCCACAGTGTTTAGAACAAACAAAACATGTTTTTCCCTTCACCAACTTCAAGCCACGAGTAATAAAGTTTCTTCTTTATACAAGTCATAGTAAATATTATTCAGAGTTTGGCTGTGCTTGACCCTGAAATTCTCAAGAATATTCTCAGCCACACCTAAGGATAAAAAGGAAGGGCAGTACCCAATTCTGATGCTTGCTGCAGCTCGTTCTCTACATGCTAAACTATTAACTAACCATTAACTATTAAAATGATGTCTGATCGCATCTAATGTATGCAATTTATGAGTAATTCATGGAGCTAAAGAGCAGGTATGAAAGTCAGAAACAAAATCACTGAAAGATGTTAATGATGACTGTAACTGAAATAGTTAATTTTTAAAATATTTGTTGGCTTAAGATCTGTTTCATGTGCACTTTATGTTAACATTATTTACAACATGTTCTTACATTATGAATATGGTGAAAAACTTAATATTACTCTTTATGCTAAGCAACGTCTTGGTTCTAAGTCATCCAATTTGAAAGCCAAAACAATTTTGGTCTCACTGCCAGCCTTGAAGTTATGAGGACACAGATCTATAAAATCTTTCCATAAAGTGTACTCTGAATTGCAGGCCAGCCTCAAGGACTTTGTCTGAAAAGGAAACAATAGCAAGTGCAAGCAGAAATTAAAAACCTAGAGAAGTTGAAGACAGTTGCCTAATAGTATTCAGTGAGCAACTCCTTTTAAGATAACTAGGAACATGATTCTCAACCCATGTTCTTGCACATTTCTTTACTACAACTGCCATAATATTTTTTAATAATCTTCTAGTTTTCCAGTTATGCTCTATCAATGCTGACAAAAATGCAAGTCACATGGGAAAAGACTCCTATGAAAATCAGATAATCAGATATCCCAAGTGTTTTAGCTGAGATGCTAAGAATACTAATCTCTCTACTATTTGTTAGAAGTTAGGATTCGTTCTTTCAGATGTATATGTAGCATAGTGTGTTTTACTACAGATAGTCCTTGCATTATGACTATTTGTTTAATGAGTGTTTGAAGTTTCAGTGGCCTTGGAAAAAATAACTTATGACGACCAGTATTCACATGTATGACCGTTGTACCACCACTGCAGTCATGTGATCATAATTCAGGCACTTGACAACTGATTCACATGTACATCCAGTTGCAGCATCCTTTGATCAGAGGATCATGATTTTCAACCTTTTTTTTGCTGTTTTCTAGCCAAAATTTGAATTTGCTTAACTACCACATGATTCGTTTGACAATCGCCACAAAAAGTGTTGTGAAATCAGGTCCAACTTCACTACAACAATTTACAATGGAAATTCCAGTTCGAAATGTGATTGTAAATCAAGGACTATCTGTATTTAGAATATTTATGACTTGTTCATCTTCCATCAAGATGCTTCAATAATTTGAGGATAAACTTGCTTAGCTCCATTTGGTTTGGAATAACAGAATAATAGTTTATTATTTTCAACAGATGATGAAGGCTCATTTTTTATATGTAATCAATAACTATAAACAGTTTTGTTTCATGCAGCTCTTTCTAGATCAAAAGCAATGTATGCGTATGTCTAGAGTTGTAGACATGCACACAAACACGTAAGAGAAACATAAGCCGAGAAACAAACAGCATGTAAGTCCTTACCGTGTGCCACCCAGCCATGTTTACATTGATCACAGGTTCTCAGGTTTATCTTCCCTGGTTGGAAACATTCACATGTGCAATTTACCAATGTGCAGCGTATTGCCTAAAACAAGAAAAGTGAAACCAACATATATAATAAACTTTACTTGAAGAAGAAGTAACTCTGTAATTCAAAGAATCAAAGTTCTTTATATACATTATCTCAACATTTATAACTCTTTAAATTATTTTTGAGGAAGGCCAGTGTTGCAAATTTAGGAGATTAATCTGAAGAGATTAATGGCATCAAAAGAACTGACTTTGAGGTTAGAATTGATCTGTAGATTTCCAAAATCATAGTTCATCCTTTGACACAATGTACCTAATCTCAGTGTACACTTAATACATTACATTTAATCTACAAAGGTACACATAGTATAAGAACATTCACATAACATGGAAGCTACAAAGCTACACATTATCAGGCCATTTTTCTATTTCGACCTAACCACAGTATTAACATACCCCAGAAAACTCTTTTTTTTCTGTCATGACTACATGCTGTTGTATCCCTATCTTTCTCAACCCATATCTGAGGCAATCGTAATTTATCCTCGGCCTGTTCCAGGAGTAAGCAGACAGATACAATCAGATACAGTTCACCGACTACATGTCAACCATATGTAGCAATTATTAGCCACTTTAGGCTGCTGTGGACATAGCTGTCCACTTCTGTATATAGGCTCTATCTTGCAGAGCTGTGCTGCTACCCACTCTTCTGGCAACACAAGGAATCTGGATCTTTCAAAATGGTTCCCCTCCTGTAATAAGCCAATCCCCAGTTTGGAGACCTGGATCAGTTAATCAGCTGTTTGATGATGCTTGAGAAAGAATCAGTTCAGCCATTTTACAGTAGAATCTCCCCTTGGCTCATACCTGTGAGTAGATGTTTGGAATGCTTTTGAACAAGTGGGTTCAGCATTCTTTCCGAAAAGTGCTAAATCCATGTTTGAGAATCATTTACTGAGTGTGAGGGAATACAGTACAGCAGGGGTGTCAAACTGCCGGCCTGCCAACCCCACTGCCAGCAATGGAAAAAAAGTCACGATACGTCACGACACGTCACATGACATTGCGAGTTTGACACCCCTGCAGTACAGTATAGTGGGGAAAGACTCTTCCCCTATTGTGCAATCTCTCTCTTTGTCTGTTATTTGTTAGGCTACTTTTAAACACAGGTTTACTGCTCTGTCAAAAGAGTATTAAGTACATGTTTTAACTAGCCTGGCTTAATACCTGACAGGCATACAAGTGTGTATGCCCTGAAATGAGAGAGCGTTTCACCCTGTTCCCCCAACTGTCATTTGTTGTTTAGGCTACTTCTAAATGTGGATTTAGTATTATTCTGGGGGAAAAAAATATCTGTGTTCAAAAAGAACGTCAACATGGAGTTCATATCCTTTCATAAGAATGGTAACCTATGCTTAAATGTACCTCCCAAATAACTGTCCGACTCTGAGGGAGTTGCAGTGACCCTCAGCTGAGAGGAAGCTGGTAAACCATAGAAAACCTGTGCTTTACCTGCTGGGTTTCTACTCCTATAGAGGGGTAGAATGGAAAATGCTACATGGAAAATGAAGATCAGCTGGGTATAGGTTTTGCTTTCAATTCTCCTGAACTGGAGATCTGGGAATGTTGAACGTTTCTTTGTCTCTCTTCCCAGACATGGCAGCTGATTGCTTAGATCAGGGGTAGGCAACCTTGGCTCTTTTATGACTTGTCGACTTCAACTCCAGAATTCCTGAGCCAGCTGTGGAATAACTCAGGGACAATGATAAATCTTGCTCTTTATGACAACTCCTTGCATGAAATTTTTTATAAAAGCAAACATTTTATGTCAAAGTTTGTCTTTGTATTTTATTACACAAAATAATATTACACAAAAATTAGAGAAATGGGAAGTTAAACTATTCTTCAATATATACTTAAAGAATAAAAAAGTCCACGAGTCATAAAAGAGCTAAGGTTGCCTATCCCTGGCTTAGATGGTTCATGGAATCCAGAACTTAGCACACAAAAATAAACCTCCCCAATCTCTTCTATCCTCTCTCCTGGCCTGGGACCAAGCTTCCAGAATCTTCTTCAGAGCTGGAGAGACAGATTTTGACAGATGTCTCAACTGCTAATATAGAAATCTCTAAAAATTCATTTCCCAGTGCCAGAGGACTTTTGGGGAGGGGGCAGAAACAAAAACAGGAGAATCTGTTCCTGTCTTTAAAATAGTTGTATCGTAAGGACAGTTCCATTTGATATTTAATCTTCTGGCAGAACAGAATTCGGAAGTGGAAGAAACCAATGTGAGGAAGAGCCCTCAAAATCCTTCCATGCAATTTAGAATAAATTTGATATCTTCTGTTACCATTTCATCAAATATTAATTCTGGAGGATTCCCAATTTTTCAGAGGAGAAAACCCAATAGAAACACCGAGGCGGAAGAATCTTAATGTAAATACCATGTAAATTCCAATGGATCTTTGCCATCAAACATAAACATGACAAGCTTTTTTTTTATTCTTTAAGTATATATTGAAGAATAGTTTAACTTCCCATTTCTCTAATTTTTGTGTAATATTATTTTGTGTAATAAAATACAAAGACAAACTTTGACATAAAATGTTTGCTTTTATAAAAAATTTCATGCAAGGAGTTGTCATAAAGAGCAAGATTTATCATTGTCCCTGAGTTATTCCAATTGTAGGATGCATTAAGTCATCACCATGCAGCCATGGAAATGAATAAAAATAATTTATAGTGGAGAATATTTGGATTTTAAAATATAGGACAATATGTATATGTTGCACATTTTTGCTTGTCAGGTTATCAAATGCCTAAAGGATTTTTTTAACGTCAGATATTATTTCATATTATAACGTCATATTGCTTAAAACTGAGGTTGAAGTCGGTGCTGAAAGATGTCTAAATACAGAACAAAGATCCCTCTAACCCCCCACCTTATTCTATTTCTAAATACCTCATGTTTCTTTTCTGAAGACGTATCTAATAATATACAACTTAAGCATCAGGATTTCATTTAGTCGATATATTTCTAAGCTGTGGATGATTCCAGAAAGAATGTTGATATTCTAGAAAGATGTTGAGACTCCCAAAAGAGTGCAGAGAAGAGCAACGAAGATGATTAGGGGACTGAAGGCTAAAACATATGAAGAATGGTTGCAGGTACTGTGTATGTCTAGTTTAATGAAAAGAAGGACCAGGAGGTGATGTGATAGCAATGTTCCAATATCTAAGGGGCTGCCACTAAGAAGACGGAGTCAAGCTATTCTCCAAAGTACCTGAAGGCAGGAAAAGAAGCAATGGATGGAAACTAATCAAGGAGAGAAGCAACCTAGAACTAAGGATAAATTTCCTGTCAGTGAGAACAATTAATCAGAGGAATGACTTTCCTCCAGAAGCTGTGGGTGCTCCAACACTGGAGATTTTTAAGAAGAAATTGGGCAGCATTTGTCTGAAATGGTATAGGGCAGAGGTGTCAAAATGGTGGCCTATGGGCCAGATGCGTCACACAGAGGCCACGCCCATCCTGGCTCCACAAAGGCAAAAAATGTCATGATGCATCACAATACATCACATGATGTGATCGAGTTTGACACCTGTGGTATAGGGTTTCCTGCTTGAAAAGAGGGTTGGACTAGAAGACCTCCAAGGTCCCTTCCAACTCTAATATTCTGTTATTCTAAGCACAATATATTGAATAAAACTAACTCAGGAGGTCTGCACCAGCTTCAGTTTGCCTCTATCACTGCTTTATTTTCCAAAGCATAAAAATTCACTTTTTGACAACTTAAAAAGAAAATTCCTTTAAAAATATGACCCCTTGTTATAATGAAAAGTAAATAGGTAAGACTGAAATGCATCTTATAGGAATAAGACATCACTTTGGAGGGAAAAGCTGTGCAATTAAAAAATATATGAAGTAAATACATAAATAATAACCAAGACATTATTTTAGGCCAAGATCTCACTTTTTAAAGACTACTGAAGATGACCTGGGCTCTTTAAAGACTAGTAGTAAAAGTATGGTGTGCATTTAGGCTTAATTTGCAAACAGGGTTTTGAAATGAAGGAAATTAAATTCAACATTCACACATTAACACTGTACTCTTAAGTAGTAAAATGCCAGGAAAGGAACATTCTGCCAATTTGAATACAATCATTTATTCAAAGGGTCAAAGGAAAGGAGAGGGAACAACTACAGTAATATGTGAAATTCCTGAATGATACTTAAGCAATTTTTTTTTAAATTGCAAAACTCTTATCATTGCTTCAGGCTAGTGCTTCAGGATGCAATCAGATGCTCACTTAGGGCATATCCACACTTAATATTTAAGCAGCCACTGTCCTGGGCTTATGCCAGTTTTATGTATCAGCCTAAGTAAATCGTATCCAAACTGAAACATCCAGCAATAGATGGCACAGTGATCAGTTTAAACAGCACACTACATTCTCCCATTGAAAATTCCCTATTGTTGTACCCTTTGCCCTTTCTGACTAGCAAGTGTCAGTGACCTTCCTTTCTATGGGTAGTTCCTCTTGGGACATTTGTACAGGTAGTCCTCAACTTACGACCAAAACTGAGCCCAAAATTTATTTTGCTAAGTGAGACATTTGTTAAATGAGTTTTTGACCCATTTTACAACTTTTCTTAACGTGAATCACTGCAGTTGTTAAATTAGTAACACAGGTTGTTAAGTGAATCTGGCTTCCCCATTGACTTTGCTTGGCAGAATTTCACAAAAGGGGATCCCATGACCCAACCGTCATAAATATGAGTCGGTTACCAAACGTCTGAATTTTGATCATGAGGGATGCTGCAATGCTTGTATGAAAAATGGTCCTAAGTCACTTTTTTCAGTACCGTTGTAACTCTGAATGGTCACTGAATGAACTGTTGTAAGTTGTGGACTGCCTGTATTTAATATGTGTGCCTATATCTATACCTGTATTTGTATATGTGGAGCATCTGTCACCCACACAAAAAAGTTAAACTGAATTTATACATATAGAATTAAAGTTTCAGAATTTGCATTCAAGCAGCCTCAACTA